AGTTAAAGTTGAATGAAAAAAATAAAACAAAAAAAGAAGCTATTTGAGAGAAAAATTATGAAATAAAGTTGCACTATCCTGATTTTTTTTGGTGATCCGATTTCTGAAATATCGAGGATGATATTTTTTTTAAGGGGAGAATTGTACAACTTGCAGATCAGTGCATGCATCGTTCCACTTGTTTTGACGTGATCCGATTCAAGATAATTTATTGAGTTTTTGCATTTGAACCCTTCTAGACATGTAAGTGAAAGTTTACATGTGTTGTAAAGTGGGTCTCTGCAGTTTGTGTGTATGTTTTGAAAATATGAAAAGTTTCCCCTGAAGCGCTATGACGCTGGGGTAGGCACTGCTGTGGTGCTATGGGCTCCTAGAGGGAGCACTTCAGCACGTGTGATTGGGTACCTCAACGCTCAGCCTAATTTTTATATTAAAAATATAATTTTTCACTATTCCACTCACTTCCACTCAATCAAGGTACCCAGAGAGAGAGAGAGAGAGAGAGAGAGAGAGAGAGAATGAATTGTACAAATTAAAGGAAATAATGTTGGAATTCCATGATATATTTGTTATCATCAAAAGTTAATATAGAATTGGGCTCATGATAAAGGCCTAAAAGAAAATTTATAATAATTAAGGGAGTAAACAATTAAGTAAAGCTAATGTCTTACTAATAAAGCTGAAAGGTGAGTAAGGAGCTTATGACTTAATTAAACCGACATCTCCTCAAGTGTTGATGAGTGAGCAGAGGCCAACGATTAAGTTTATCCAAGTCTCCCATAATGTTGAAGTGTCAAAAGAGAGTCAATATCTCACTCAAGTTTTAAAATAAGGTTTTAAGATCGCTTAAGAAGGTTCTAAGCCAGGTCAACTTGAAAGGGTTTAAGGAATGATCTTGCCCTAGCTAGGCTTACCAACGAGTATAAACCAATTAAGATAAATTGGTGTGAATCATATTAAGGTTAGGTAAAGGTCTACTATAATAAAAATTAGGTTCGAACCACCTTATTTAGGGCCTATAAGAAAAGAAAAGTATGATAAAGCCACTTATAACTAAATGAAGTCCAAGGGAAGGTCAAGTCTAGGGAAAAGGGAAACTAATAGATAATTGGCTATGGTCAGGGTTAGTTATGAGCTGGCCTGACCAATAAAGCTCATACGTTTTGTTTAAGAAACTTAGGAACGATGAAGGTCAAGTTTAAATTGAGGTAAAAAATAGTTCACTTGATATCTTAAAAGGTTTTGAGTCCTAGTTTACTCTAATCCAGTTCTTAAGTTAGCATAAAGATTAGGTCCAATTAAAGCCGCCTTAAGTTGACCAAGTCGACGATGCCTTAAGGATCGATACTATCCAATGGAATTAAAATAGATTTGGAGTCTATCCAGGTAGGTCAATCTAGACTAGGATCTTATTGGTTAGTCTAGACTTTGATTCTAAATGGGATAGCTCCATAGGAAGTTATGGGTCAACAATGTGATCCATTAAGTCATAATTGAGGAGATCAATCTTATGAAGTCTACTATAGACTTTAGCATAATAAACTTGATTGAAGGTAATGTACGATCTCCTATAGTTAAATTAACTCAAACCAAACTCACAATATGTGAGACTAGGCTTAAAGGAGACATATAGGCTTAAATTCACTAAGTTGAAGTTATGAATATGTCTATGCAACATTAGAGTCAAATTTAGTAGGGTTGCAAAACTTAAATCCACTAAGACTAAGGAAGAGTACCTAGGACTAGGCTATGTTAGCTCAGTGGTTAACTACATAATGGGGCCTAAGAAGGGTTAAATATACTAAGATAACAAGGTTATGACTAAACAATTCTCTATAAAAAAATAAGGTCAACAATAATAATAACTTTTAGCATCTAATTTGGGTGAAAATGCTTGTGATCCAACAACTTATATGAATATTTGAGGATCAAAGCAACCTTTAAAGTTCGGAAAATTCTTCTCAAATGAATTGGATGAGAGGGTATTATAGCTTTCACAAATGGTATTCCAACGGATGTTTGAAATATTTATTGCTGCTAAAAAAATATTAAACAGTGTTGATTATGCCTTCATTAGAAAAAATTTAAAAAATATAATATTAATATTAATTTGACCCATTCCAAATTGAAATAAATAGAGTAGCCAAACATAATATAATGAAGTTAATCAATTGTGCTATCTGCAATAAGTAATTTTAATATATTCTGTTATATACTTTGCACCACAAATGCAATGACAATACATAATTAGTTCTAACATGCAAATGAAATAAAATGAGCATAATTTAAGCATTGTACAATGCATCATATTTTGTGCTTCAATAAGGGATTTATAATCTAATATATCGAATTTAATCTTATAAATATTAAATATTTTTTTTGGGATTTTAAATCTTAGGATTTACTATTGTTGCATCTTGGAGTATTCGCGGCTGTAGAGAAATATAAAATTTAACGTCTTAACTTTGTACGAAAATCCGGCACACAATCAGATAAGAGAGTGGGTGTAGCATTTATGAGAAACATTAATATTTTTATGTGGAAAACCCCTAAAAAAGGGGGAAAACCCTCGGGGCCTAGCCCAGTTTGAATGAATCCACTAGTATTGCAGTTGATTACTAATGAGACCCTTCATATGGGGAAGGTCTTAGCTTGATGTACATCTTACAAAGGACATTACATAATGTGAATACAAGAATCATTGTTGATGTGTTCGTTTGGTCAGAAGGATCGTAGTTGGTGGGCGACGAAGGTTAGTAGGATAATAGTTGGCGGGCGACGTAAGTCGACAGGATTGTAGTTGGCGGGTGACAGGGGTCGGAAGGACTATAGTCGGTGGATGAAGGAAGTCAGAAGGACCGTAGTCGGCGAGCGACGGAGGTCGGAAGGACTGTAGTCGATGGACGACAGAAGTCAAAAGGACCGTAGTCGACGGGTGATAGAGGTCATAAAGAGCGTTGTCTGGCGACGAAGGTCGGAAGGACTGTGTCAGATAAAAGTCAAGCAATAGACATAAATCTAACATCTGATAGATGTCCAGCGAAAACAAGACAACGGGCATAAGTCCAGCGTCGGGTAGAAATCTGGTGACGAGTGGAGGTCAGGTGTCGGGTAGAGTCCAAAATCAATCGGCGGTCAGGGAGAACTCCGACGTTAGATGGTATTCGGGCAGAACTCCAGAGTCACTTGGAGATCGAGCAGAGTTCCGGCGTCACTGGAAAGTCGAGTGGAATTTTAGCGTCACTTGGCAGTCGGACGGAATTCTGGTGGTGGTCGAGGAGTAGTTTCTTCCTTCCTACTCTTCTCTTATTCTTCTTGCTTGGGTCCCCTCTCAAGAGAAATGAGGGGCTATTTATAGCTTTTTGAGGATGGCATGACCCGTAAATAGGAGGAGGATCAAGAGCAAATGTGGAGTGGTTTGGATGGACGGCCGATATTGAATCCCTTGATCGTGGACTATTTGTCAGACATTTGAAGATCTTAATGATATCGGAATTCGGCGATCTTAGGCTCGTTGGATTCTTCTCGTCGAGCCACTCAATTCGACAATAAGCATGTCATGTTTAGAAACTGTTTAGTAATCCAAATTGTGGTTTGAACCTTCCAACAACGCTTCGGGTTTTTGATTCAGACCCATTTGGGCTCGGATTGAGTTGAATTTGGTGTCGTTGGATTCGTATTTCCGAGACGATCAGTTTGACTATAAGTTTGCCGAAATCGAAGTTCATGTGATCCCGGATTTAATTTTTGAAGTTTCTGGCTTAATTTTGCCTCGAGATTCGTGTCCAATCAAGATATTTTTTTGATGACATATCAACTATTATGATTATTTTAAAAATTTGATCAAACTACCCAATCCAATTGTGAACCGGTCCTCTAGTCAATTTGGTCCAATTTAAAAGCTGGTTCTATGTCGAATGTGCTAGAATCGATTGTAATTAATAGTTGAACTAGTTCGATTTTTGTTGAATCTTTTGATTATGATATTGACTTTTAATTTTGATAAAATGATTATAATAAAATGTTTGGATATTCTAATAAGTTTTATCCATCTTAGATTTATATTTATTGAACTTTTAAGCTGAAAATTATTGTTATTTGAACTGAGATATCTTCTAATTTTTTTTTTAAAATATTTAAAAGATTTAATTTAAAAATATATCAAAATTTTTAATAATAAAATATCTTAATCTTAAATATTATATATTAAATTAATTAAATTATTAATATTATTATATCATTTAAATAATTTTAATATTAATTATTTCATTCAATTCAATCTTACTTCACTTGCTCATTAGACATTTGAACTTTTAACACTTACATAAATTTTAAAACCTTGAGATTTAGGTTTTGTTTGAGACGATTTTTTTGCCGGTTCTTAAAACAACTTTTTAGGACAAAGAATTAAATTTTTGTACTAAAAAATTAAGAAGTAACAATAAAGCCGTTCCAAACGAAGCCTTATATCTAAGTGGTTGTTTCGTTGGATTCCAAATGGGTGTGAAGTATTTCAAATATAGGAGATTTGATAATTTTGGTGTTTGGTTGGATGAAAAGTGAATGAGAGGTAAATATAATGTGAATCATTATAGTTTATTTTTTTAGCTAAGCTAAACTCGTCCAATATTGAGCAACAATGATTTACATCGCAGGCAACCTCACTTGATCTTCGTTGGCGAACACTATCAATGACCTCCAGCAACATCGTCACTACCCACGACACCACCACCATCATCGCTCGCTGTCACCCACTGTCAACCATCACTAGCCACCATTGTCGACACTGACAACCACTATCATCATTTGCCAGTCGTCACCATTTTTAAATTTTGTACTATATTTATTTTATTTCAAATCAAATAATTTTTTTTATACTACTACTTTAGATTCATCCAAATAATTCCAAAATATTTCTTTTATGCCACTTCATTTTTTTTAGTCAACTAGAAAAAAAAATGTATGAATTTGTGTTAAATGTTTTTCTTTGATAAACTGGCCGTAGAGCTTTAATTTCATTTTCTAGGGTTTGTTTGGCTGTCTCCAGGGCGTGTCGGGGAAGATCGAGCCAACAACGAGATCCGCAATTTTCACTCGGTGATGGAATGCTTACGTTTTGCTAGGCAGAAGGCTCTGGAAGCGACGGATCTTTCACTTAATTCATCTTGCGTTGCAGCGAACTAGTTCCAAGTGAATTGATATTTGCAACCGCAATGGGGAATTTTCTGATGCTCGAGTCTTCGCCTGCCTTCATTTCATTTCCTTTACATTCCTTCAATCCGAATACAGCCTAAGATCGCCGCCCATTGTTTTATAGTCCACCGGAAAGCCCTAATAAAAGATGTTGATTCTTTCATGGGCTTTGGTAAAATCATATCTGTTGGTTTCTTTTATCTTGTTTACTGTTACTTGCCCAAAGTAAAATGCTTTGCTGTTTAACTCATCATCCTACAATATGGAGATTTCATTAGGGCTTTTTTCTGTGCACCGTTGTATTAGTATTTTCATTAGGTTCTTTTTTTTTTTTTTTTTTTTTTTTTTTTTTTTTTTTTAGCGATGTAGGATTTAACGTAAATCCTGCTCAAATCTTGCATAAATTCTGTATCCAAACGGCCCCTAAAGGCCTTAATTTTTTCTCGTTTTCTTGTCCTGTTCTATTTTGCTTGGGGAAGAGTAAAGCCATACTTCCCAAATAAATCTGCATTTTTAAACATGGGGTGGCTGATCTTGCCAAATTTTCCTTTTGCATTGCGTGGAGTGGGGATAGAGGGGGATTTTGGTATGGAGAGGATGAAGGAAGCAATGTTATTAAAAGGAAATGAGCAAAAACCAAAGGGGATGCTCTGGAAGCGTCGGGTTGGTCTTCGTTACATTAGGAAGAAAATTAATTACAAGTAAATTGTGATCAGAGGTCATGCCAACAATGAATTCTTTATTGTTTTCAATCTGATGTGGAATCTAGGATCATTTCTACTGTTCAAAAACTATATTCCCAAATAATTTATGTTTAAATATTGGTTCACTCTCTTATCTTATGAAATAATCTTTTTTTGGCTGAGCTTGAGAGAGGGAGAGTGAGAATTCATATGTATAGGATGATGAAAGTCAGTTGATAAGGATTATGTGAGAGAATTGGTGTGGAGAGGAAGATGGAGTGATATTGTGTGTACTGGAGAAGTTCAAGAAGGTGTTGAAAGCGGCAGCGTGATCCCCGTTTCACATGTGATAAAGAAAACTAATCCCAAGAAAATCATGCTTTAAGTTTATACCTGCAATGATTTGTTTATAGTTTTCAATTTGATATGGAATTAGGGATTCTTGTGTCTAGTTCTATTTTCTCAAATAAATTTACATCTATGATTTTATCAAATTGTTTCTAGGGGCTCAACTGAAGAGTGGTGGTGGAGAACTCATATTGGAGAAAATGATGCAAGTATGGGTGGAAGGAAGCAGTGGGGCTGGGGGTGTAAACAATTCGAGTCTAGCTCGAGTCACCCGTGGCTTGTGCTTGATTAGTTAATCTAGTTATAGCTCGAGCTCGAACTCGAGCTTTATTCTATGAGTTTGAGTCGGCCCACGAGCTTCTTGTTTATTATGAAAGAGAGAAAATGATTATAATTCAAGCAATTATTATAGTATAATGATAAAATGAATAAGAAATTAAAAGAAAAATAATAAATAATCACTTAATATAAGAAAATGAGATTTTTTTTAAACATTTTTTTTACAACTTTGTACTTTAAATTTTGAATGCTAATATATTTTATGTGCATTTTATATTTATATATTTTTAAATGAGCCGACTCTCAAGCTAGCGAGTCGAGTCAAGTCTGGCTCAAGTTTGACTTGTTAGCTCGTTGAACTCGGCTCATGAGCCACTTATCAAGTTGAGCCCAAGCTGGCTCATGGGTCAGTTTGACAGACTTATACCCCTAAGTGGGGCAAAGCTGAAGAAAGCTTTGGAAGTGGTAGCTTAATCTCTGTCTCCATTTGTGATGAAGAAACTATTTGCTGCCTAATGATGTTGTATGCTTATACCACTAAATCCTTTTTTATATATTTTGAAATAAGTTTTTGGTTTATGGATAATCTATGTTGCACCGATACACCTATTTATGAAGGCGTGCTGTATCCGATACACCGATACACGGATACGCCTCCGATACTCCACCGATACGTGTCGGATACGTCAAAGACGTGTCCAATTAAAATAGTATTTATTTTCAAAAGGACACGCGTATCTGATACACGTGTTCGTTGAAAAACAAAAAGAAATCCGAAAAAAAAGAAGATGCGTCATATTTACTTCCGGGGCTGTGAGCAAAGTTCTCTCATTTTCGAGATGGATTTGAGTCTCTTGATGATATGAGAATATTAGAAATTACTAATCTTTCACTTGATGAGCCTGAATTAAAAGCTATGATATTTATTAAAGATGATATAGAAGTTCAAAGACAAACCACTGAAGAAGCTAATCATTTCATCCCTTCTATTGAATAGTTGAAACTTTATGTGCTAGACAATTTATATTTATGCTTTTGTTGTTGCACTAGACATTTAATGCTTATATTTTGATATTATAAGCTACAAGGCTACAAATGATGTTGTTGTCATTTTTTTTGTAATTTCAAATATTATGCTTTGATTGCTTTCTTAATTTTTATGTATGATTTATAAATTATGATGCCGTGTCCGCGCCGTACCCGTATCATGTATTTTTAAGAATTGATGTGTCCCGTATCCGTATCGTGTCGTATCCGTGTCTCCGTATTCGTATCGGTGCAACATAGTGGACAATTAAATGAGCCCTTATTTGAAATACAGTTTCATCAAATTCTGATATCATTGATGCTTAAGTTTTATGTTTATAACTCTGCAAGCGAAGTGGAAAAAATGTTTGAGAAGTTTGGTTGGAACTTTTCTGTTTGTTTACAAGTAGGATTTAGTTAACCCTTTAAATTCAGATTTTTAATCTTGAGCATATTAGAACAAGAAAATTTCTTGGCATGTTAATTGTTAAATCTTGCTAAATCTTGATACACTATTAGATCATTTGTTCCGGTGTTTAAGATTTGTAAGAGGGTGAAATCCTTAAATAATACTGTGAATAGTGGACAGATCTTGTATTTAACCTACACTGAAGTTGAAATGAATTAATCAAAACAGTAGGATTTAACAAACATTTAGCTGGACTTCTGTTAAATCATGCCTAAATCCTGTGTAAAATAGGATACCGAACAAGCCCTAAGGGATGTTGGTTCTTTCATAGGCTTTGGTCGCACCTTTGGTTTACTTTTTCCTTTTTTACTCTTACTTCTCTGTAGGAAATTGCCTTGCCGCTTAATTCATCATCTAAGAGTGTGGGGTTTCATTTGGATTTTTTTTTTGTGCACATTAGCATTATTATTTTCTGAAAACTGTACTGTTTGCTGCTCTTCACTCTAGATATGCTTGGACTATTTTTTATAATTTTTACTTGCTTTCTCGCCATGTTCGATCTTACTTGAGGGTAAAGACGTTCAAGTAAAGGTATACTTCCCAAATAAATCTGCATTTATTATCATTGGGTGCTTTAGTTTGCCAATTACCTTTTACCTTGCCTAGAGTGGGGACACAAGGGGGGATGTTAGTAATAAAGAGTATGATGGAGCAATGTTGTTAAGAAAAAAACGAGGAAAAGCCAAATGAAAAGGCTCTGGAAGCAGCAACTTGATCTTTGGTTCCTTACGTGATGAAGAAAACTAATCCAAGCGAATCATGTTCTGAGTTCGTACTAACAGTGATGTCATATTTATAGTTTTCAATCTGATAAGGAATCTTGGATTGCTTCTGTTGCTCGGGCCTAAAGCTATATTTTCCTAATTTATGTTTTAATATTGGTTCTCTTATCTTACCAAATTGCCCATTTCAACATTGCTTGAGGGGGAGATGGAGAATTCATATGAAGAGGATGATGGAAGCAATGTTGTAAGGAGTATGCGGGGCTAAGCTAATGAGGAAGAATCTCGAAATCTTTGGTTGGTCTTTATGTCCTCATGTGATCGTGAAAACTAATAGCAAGCAAATCATGCTAATGAGATCATGCTTATATTACTTTTTTTTTTCTTGAGAGTTTTCAGTATGATATGGAATCGATGATTACGTTGACTTCTCGATTTGTTTGATTAATACTTCAATAAATCTACATTATAGGATCTTGTTTTTTATCATACCAGTTTCATTTTTTTCTTTGCGAGGGACAGGATGGAGGTAGAATTCATTTGGAGAGGATGATGGAGTGCGGTTGTGAGGAAGTGAGGAGAAGTTGAAGAATGTTCAAGAAGTGGAAGCTTGAGTTTCACACATGATGAAGAAAACTAATCCCATACAAATCATGCTCTGATGGCTTCTATTGTTATGAATCTGATATGGTATTAGGGATTAGTCCTTCTCGTGTCTAATTCTATTCTCCCCAAATAATTTTTACATTTAGGATCTTAAAAAATTGTTCTTTTGGTTCAACTGGAGAGGAGAGGTGGGAAAACTCTTCATTGGATAAGATGGAGGCAGTGGGAAGAAATTGAAGAAGGCTCTGGAAGTGTCAGCTTGAAGTCTTAATCCACATGTAATGAAGAAAACTAGTTGCAACATATTGATGCTCTAAGCTTATACCTCTAAATTAGGGATTAATCTTGCTGTTTCAGCGCCTCCCTACTACTGCATTTGTTCTATTTCTCCCTTCCCCTCTTTCCTTATATGCATATTGGAAAAGTCTAATAGACTGTTTATTCACAGTTAGGGCCTGTTTGGATGCAGGATTTAGGTCAAATTTCGGAAATATTTTAACAAAATCCCGCCAAACGCCAAGAAAATACAAAGTTAAATCTCACGGTAAGTCTAATCTCTACTTCATGGCGTTTTGGCCATTTATGCCCTAAATCCTGGATTTCATAAATCTGACTTTTTTTGTGGATTTCATAAATTCGACAAAGAAGCGTGTGAAGGGGAGAAATATTGTTACCTTCACGGAGAACTCCCGGGGCGATTTCCAATATGACAGGAACAACGTGTCTTATAAGGCGGAGAAGCTTCAACTCTTTCAAAACCCTACTTCATGTGAAGCAGAACAACAACGAATAAATGCAGAAGAGGAAAAGCAAACCCTAGATATTAGTATGAACAGTATGATGGAGCAATGTTTTTAATAAAAAAGGGAGGAAAAGCCAAATGAAAAGGCTCTGGAAGCAGCAACTTGATCTTTGGTTCCTTACGTGATGAAGAAAACTAATCCCAAGCGAATCATGTTCTGAGTTCGTACTAACAGTGATGCCATATTTATAGTTTTCATTCTGATAAGGAATCTGTTACGCCGGTCCAGCATGGACCGGCTCAACCTGGACCGGCCCAGCCGGTCCAAGTCTACGCGAGGCGGAGACGGGCCAGGGATCAGGCGGAAGTTTCAAAGGGGGCTGGGGTGGGGTCCACTTGAAATTCAAACATGGTTTAAGTGTTTTTGGAGGGAGAAGGAAGGGTAGAGAAGTCCTTTTGCTTTTATTTTGTATTAGATTGTTTTAATAGGGAGTTATGAGGGGAATTAGGGATCATCTTGATTTTGAATGAGTTTTGTCTTCTAGGTTTTCTTGTTTGGGCTCTTGGCATTGCCGGAGATTGTTGGAGAGTTGTTCTTCCTCTCGAATTGAAGAACATTGTATCTTGCTTTGGTTTTTATCATCTACTAAGGAAATACAATTATTTGCTATTGTTTTTCCAAAGTTTTCTCCCTTTTCTCTCAGCTTTTCCATTGTTGGTGGCTGTTTTCTATTGAAAACAGTGAAATATTGGTGAATCGGTGAAGATCCGATAGGAATCGCTTGGAATATTCAAGTGGTACCTATCAAATTGGTATCAGAGCGAAGATCCGGACGGTGGGGGGCTGTTTTCCACTGTTTCGCTGCAGATTTTTGCTTTTCGGAAGAGACGGAGACATTTCGTGGTTCCCATGGATCTTAAACGTGTAGAAGTCTTGGAGACCGAAGTGGTCAATTTTTAGCGGAATTGAGGAGACGATTGGCGACGTTTGAGTGAAATTCATGGAGGGATAATTCTGCAATTGGGGAGATGATGAAAAGTTGTTGGATCAGGGCAAGAAGAGCTGTGCAGCGGAGAAAGAGGAGAAGGTGTGGATGCAAGGTAAGAAGAAGGCACGCCGGAAGGGGAAGAGGAAGGTGGACATGCTGGTAAGAAACGGAGAGATGCGCTCGGGAGTCCATCAGGCGGGAAGAAAGAGAGATGATGTGGCGTCGTCGGAGGCCCGACCCAGTGACCGTCCAGGGGGATCCATACCAACATGGCGGTGCGCGAGGGGAGAGATGGCATTCGACGTGTCGAGGAGGGATGATGTAGCCACGATATGGAGAGAGAGGATTGGGAAATCCCATTGCTGGGACAGAGGAGGCCATGGGGGGATAGGGCAATACGGGTGGACACGAGCACAGAAGCTGAAATGGCCAGTTTTCGAAGAGGGGAACTGTGGATGAGATGGATTCACAAGGTGGAAGAGGTATTTGCAGTTGAAATGGCCTGATGGAGGAGAGAGAATGATGGCGGCTTAGTGATGTGCTTTGTGAAGGGGCCGGCTTTGCCTGGTTTAAGTAATGGATAAGTGGGATCCGGTTTGAGATGGAGGGACTCTCAAGAAAGCTATCAGGAAGATTCAAGGGAGCAGCCCATGGGAGATCATCAGAACAGATTCATTATTGCCCTCAATTCAGAGGACAGTGGAGGAACTAGGAAGAATGAGAGCTTGTGGGGACATGGAGGGCTATCAACTAGTTGGGGGGACTTTATGAGGGCTCAAACGAGATCAAAAGAGATGCAGTGAAGGTCATGAGACAAGAGATCTTGAGGAGCGGCGATGAATGTTGCTCAGTTGGTGGGAGACCAGAAGAAACGCCCACACAGTGGAGGAACATCACTCAGGATGGGCCCACCAGGACATACACTTATTGCACAAGGGGAACCAAGCCATTACTACCTAGAGAGAGTGGAGGAGAGAGCGGGGTGACTAGAGTCTGCTGGAAGCTTCAAAATTGACTGGGAAGGAATGCAGAGAAGAGGGCCAGGCATTTGTTTAAGATGTGAGGAGAAGTTTTGTTTCTCAGGAAGATAGATGCAAGGACGCATTCTTCGGGCTTCACCGTTATATAGACGGCGCCTGAAGAGGGTGATGATACTGATGAGGAGCAACTGATCAAGTTGGAGGTTAGCGAGGTCTCCTTAATTTCTGTGATGGGATCTACTTCCTAGCCATACATGAAGGTGAGGGGAGATTAGGGGGAAGAGGTTTATGTGGTTCTGATTGGAGCAGTGGGGGCGAACCAATTTCATTATCCCACCTGTGGCGGAGTGAGCTAAGGGATAGGAGCCTCTTGAAGACAAGGCAGCTATGGGGTGATGATGGGGACGGGAAGATTGAGTCCAGCACCGGGATCTTGCAAAGGGGTGGGAGATGAAGCTACAGGAGAATAGGGTGGTAGAGGTGAATTTTCTGCCCTGAGTGGGTGCACTAGTGTCTTTTGGCATTAGAGTGGCTAAGACTCTTGGGTTGAGAACCAAGGTAAATTGGGGGCCATGGTGATGGAGCTGAGCGTAGAGGGAGAGGTAAAGCAGGGGAGGACCAGGATTGTCGCAGAGCTGGAGTGTACTCCGATCCTGTGAAAAATCATTACAGGAGGAAGGAGGATGATTCTGGGTGGATTTACAGTTGGAGAGCAGGAGGAGGGGGAGGGAAGACATCCTGCTTTGTTCAACCATGTTGGCAAGGAATTGAGGATGTGTGTCCAACTCCAAGTTGGACTACCACGACGAGAGCAGGAGCACGAGATTATTCCTGAAAGAGGAGTTTCCTATCAGTTGTGAGTACTTACAGGATATCTTCAGGTGCAGAAAGAATGAGATTGAAAGGTTGTGAAAATGCTAGAAGGGGATATCCAGCCCAGTGTGAGTCTTTCTAGTCCGAGTGCTGCTTGTGAAGAAGAAGGATGTGGAGTTGGAGGTTCTGTGTAGATTATAGATGCTCTCAACAAGTGAACTGTGCCTGATAAGTTTCCTATCTGTGATTGATGAGTTGAATGATGCACTACATAGGCAGCTTGTTCCAAGGTCGAGTCTGGAAGTCCAGGTCTAATCACGAGATAGGATGAGGGGAAGATGTGCAGAAAGACGGCTTTCAGGACTATGAGGGTCATAGAGTTCTGGTGATGCCTTTTGGCTCACCACAGGTCCGGCACTTCCAAGCTTTGTGAACGATCATCATGCACACTCCGCAGTTTGTGTTGGTATTTTTTGATGACATCCTTAATTTAATAGCAGATGAGGGGAACACATAGAGCACCTGAGAGTGGGTGTTGGGTGTACTGAGGGCATCAAGTTGAAGGCCAACTTCAAGAAGTGTGACTTCGCTCAGGCACGGTGTGGAGTACCTGGGGCACGTGATTATCCACGGAGGAGTGGCGTAGTAAGCAAGTGAGGCAATGCTGGTTGGCCTCAACAAGACTTGAAGGACTCGAGGGTTTTTGGGACTGACAGGCTATTACAGAGAGGTTCGTGAGGGGTACAGCACATAGCATGGCCTTGCAGAGCAGTTGAAGAAGGACGGGTTTTTATGGGAGAAGCAGCTTCAGATGGCTTTGAGAAAGTGAAGAAGGCATGACGACGGGCAGTGCTTGCTCTGCCAAATTTAGTCAGGTTTTGTGGTGAGTACAGATGATTCATGGCTATGGATTGGGAGCAGTGTTGAGCAGGAGGCAAGGCATAGCTTACATTCAGTTCAGTCCTGTCATACGGCTAGAGGCTGAGTAGTCAAGCGAAGAGGAGCTGATGCGGATTGTACGGCCATCGAAGTGGAGACTTTTATTGGGAGACACTTATGTCAGAATGATCAGAGGAGCTGAAGTACTTGTTAGCAGCCAAAGAGGATTTGGGGGGTCCCCCCCCCCCACAAAAAAAACGAGGGGAAAAAAAAAGCCGCCCCCCCCACAGAGGTGGTTGTCCAAGCTGTTGGATATGAATTCGAGATCCATGACCATGGGGGGGTAGAGATATAGGACGATGCCTTATCAGTTGTATCGGGGGAGCTCCAGGGGATCGCTGTAATCAGTACCAGTATTGATAGATTGGGGAGCATATAAGAGGAGACGCATTCAGAAATGGGAGTTTTGAGGAAATCAAGAGGAGGTGTTAGCAGATGAGAAGCCACCCGGGCTATTCAGTTGTGGGGAAAGACTGTTCTATAGGGAAGGAGTGTGATTCCTAGGTTTCCATCATATTCCCAACTGTTACATTGAGTTCATGAGATGCATAGGAGGGGCATTCAGGAGTGCAGAAAACTTATAGCGGTTAGGCGGAATTGTACTGGAGGGGATGAGGAAGCATAGAGTGAGATGTGGGAGGTGATGATACTTGCCAGCGAGCAGGTACATGTAAATGGCCACAAGGGGGATTACTGCAGCTCTGGCCTACCAGAGAACGTTTTGGGAGGAGGTTTATGGATTCATTGATGGGCTTCCAAACAGAAGGCTACACAGGTTGTACTGGTGGTGGTCGACAGCTGAGCATATGCTCATTCTTCCTTGAGACACCCGCTAGCATTGTCGGGTAGCAGCACGCGTTTGTGAGGGAAGATAGCCGCTGCATGGGTACCAGACGTCCAATTGGTTTTGATGGGACAAGGTGATTCCTGAGTCATTTTTGGAGGGACTGTTTCGGTAGGGACGTATTGCAGAGGAGCAGACTTATCCACAGACTGATGGGCAGACGGAGTGGGAATAGGATTTGGAAGAATACTTGAGGTGCTTCGTGTTTGATACCACCGAAGTAAAACGTGGGCCCATGGTAGCCTGGGCAGGAATATCTGGTAACACACATGTCTCATTCGCTACTAAGATGACACCTTTCAGGTGTTTAATGGTTAGGGATCACACACCTTGTACACTACCATAAGACATCCGTAATGCAGTGGGAATCAGCATTTTGAAGGAAAGAGATTCGGTGTTTGGCGACTCAGATGGCACTTACTTAGAGCGACAGATTAAATGAGGAAGCAGTCAGACAGAAAAGGAGAGATATAAGTTTTGGGTTCCGCGGACAGGACTTTTGAAGCTCACCATACGCAGAGGATTATGGCCAAAGGAGAAATGGAAACTCGCAGTGAGATATTTTTGGCCGTTTTGAAGTGGAGGAAATCGGGGGTGGATATAGATTGAGGCATTCCTCCACAGCCGAATAACCTCGTTTTCCTGTCTCACAGTTGAGGAAGGTGGTGGGAAGCATGCAGTCGAAGCAGAGTTGCCAGCACATTGAGGGAGGACATGGGAAGTGAACTGGAGCTATTGAAGTAAGAACGGGTGCGCATCATTGCTGAGGGGGAAAAGGAAGTGAGATTAGGTGGAGCGGTCCAGACTTGAGGCACATGGAGCCATGGAGAGGATGTGCAGAGCAGTTCGATTCATTGAGGAAAGGTTGGTACTTTGGGAGGGGGTAATGTTACGCGGCCAGCATGGACGGCTCAAACTGGACCGGCCAGCCGGCCAAGTCTCCGGGCGGAACAGGGCAGGAATTCGGCGGAGTTTCAAAGGGGGCTGGGGTGGGGTCCACTTGAAATTCAAACATGGTTTAAGTGTTTTTGGAGGGAGAAGGAAGGAGAGAGAAGCTTTTTTGCTTTTATTTTGTATTAGATTGTTTTAATAGGGAGTTATGAGGGGAATTAGGGATCATCTTGATTTTGAATGAGTTTTGTCTTCTAGGTTTTCTTGTTTGGGCTCTTGGCATTGCCGGAGATTGTTGGAGAGTTGTTCTTCCTCTCGAATTGAAGAACATTGTATCTTGCTTTGGTTTTTATCATCTACTAAGGAAATACAATTATTTGCTATTGTTTTTCCAAAGTTTTCTCCCTTTTCTCTCAGCTTTTCCATTGTTGGTGGCTGTTTTCTATTGAAAACAGTGAAATATTGGTGAATCGGTGAAGATCCGATAGGAATCGCTTGGAATATTCAAGTGGTACCTATCAGAATCTTGGATTACTTTTGTTGCTCGGGCCTAAAGCTATATTTTCCAATTAATTTATGTTTTAATATTGGTTCACTTATCTTACCAAATTGCCCATTTCAGCATAGCTTGAGGGGGAGATGGAGAATTCATATGAAGAGGATGATGGAAGCAATGTTGTCAAGGAGTACGCGGGGCTAAGCTAAGGAGGAAGAATCTTTTTTTTTTTTAAATTTTATTTTATTTTATTTTTTGAGGAAGAATCTTAAAATCATTGGTTGGTCTTGATGTCCTCATGTGATCATGAAAACTAATAGCAAGCAAATCATGCTGTGAGATCATGCTTACATTGCTTTGTTCCTTAAGAGTTTTCAATCTGATATGGAATCAATGATTACATTGACTACTTGATTTGTTTGATTAATACTTCAATAAATCTACATTTAAGGATTATGTTTTTGATCATTCCTGTTTCATCTTTTTCTTTGTGAGGGACAGGATGGAGATAGAATTCATGTGGAGAGGATGATGGAGTGCGGTTGTGAGGAAGTGAGGAGAAGTTGAAGAATGTTCTAGAAGTGGAAGCTTAATCTCTAGTTTCACACATGGTGAAGAAAACTAATCCCGAGCAAATCATTCTCTGATGTCTTCTATTATTCTGAATCTGATATGGTATTACGGATTACTCGTGTCTAATTTTATTCTCCCCAAATAATTTTTACATATAGCATCTTAGCAAATTGTTCTTTTTGGTTCAACTGGAGAGGAGAGGTGGGAAAACTCTTCATTGGATAAGATGGAAGCAGCGGGAAGAAATTGAAGAAGGCTCTGGAAATGCCAGCGTAAAGTCTAAATCCACATGTAATGAAGGAAACTAGTTTCAAACTATTGATGCTCTAAGCTTATACCACCTAATTAGGGATTAATCTTGCTTTTTCAGTTCCTCCCTACTACTGCATTTGTTCTATTTCTCGCTTCCCCTCTTTTCCTATCTACATATTCGAAAAACCTAATAGACTATTTGTTCACACTGAGGGCCTGTTTGGATGCAGGATTTTGGCCAAATTTAGGCAAGATTTGAGCAAAATCCTTCCAAATGCCAAAAATACAAAGTTAAAATCTCACGGTAAGTCTAATCTCTACTTCATGGTGTTTTCGCCATTTATGCCCTAAATCCCGGATTTCATAAATCCGACTTTTTTGCCGGATTTCATGAATTTACAAATTCGATAAAGAAGCGTGTGAAGGGGAGAAATATTGTTACCTTCGCGGCGAGCTCCCGACGAGATTTCCAATCCGACCGAAACAACATATATTAGGAGGCAGAGAAGCTTCGACTCTTTCAAAACCCTACTTCATGCGAAGCAGAACAACAATGAATAAATTCTGAAGAGGAAAAACAAACCCTAAATAGGAAATGACAAGCCACTCGTTCGAAGCTCTAACCCACGGATCCAGTGATATTCCAGGGTTTAAGATTTGTAAGAGGGAGAAATTCTTAAATCCATTGGAATCTTATGAATGGTGGGGGAGATGTTGTATTTAACCTATAATGAGATTGAAATGGATTAATCAAAACGTGAGGAAAAGCCAATTGATATTCTCTGGAAGCAATAACTTGATCTTTGGTTACTTACTTAATGAAGAAAACTAATCATAAGTGAATCATGCTCTGAGTGCATACTGACAGTGCTGCCATTTTTTATAGTTTTCAATATGATATGGAATCTTGGATTTCTTCGGTTGCTTTGGCCTAAAGCTATACTTCCCAACTAATTTTTTTGTTTAATATCGGTTCTCTTATCTTACCTAAGTGCCCAGTACCCATTTTGACTCAACTCGAGGGGGAGTTGGCGAATTCATATGAAGAGGATGATGGATGTAATGTTGTAAGGAGTATTTCAATTTAAGCTGAAGAGGGAAGATCTGGTGGTCATAGGTTGATCTTGAGTTCCTCCTGTGATGATGGAAACTAATGGCAAGCAAATCATGCTTACAGTGAGGTGTTCCTTACTTTTCAATTTAATATGAAATCAGTGATTACATTGGCTAATCTATTTGTTTGATCAATTCTCCGTCAATAAATCTATATTTAATGATTGTCTTTTTTATCATAAGAGTTTCACTTTTTTCTTTGCAAGCGATGGGTTGGAGGGAGAATTCAAGTGGAGTGGATGATGGGTGGTAGGCATGAAATATTAAAATTTTGGGGGTTAGATATGTAAATAGTATGATATAAAATTGTATGTATGTAAATCCCCCTTAATAAAATTTATTAATTTATATTTAAAGTAAGTTCTGCTTGTTTGGCTAGCAAAAAGCGCTTTGATTTCATTTCCTAGGGTTCGTTTGGATGATATTTCTCTAGCGGGCTTTGAGAAGCCTGAGTCTGCAACATGAGCCACAATTTTCACTCGGTGATGAAAGAGAAAGTTTAGCAAGGTAGAATGCTTTGGAGTCGGAAAGATTAATCTGTGCAGAGTCCGGACGTAGAGTTACGCTGTGTACAAAAGTACACAGTGTACATTTGTACACAGTATATACACTGTGTACACTCACAGTCCGACGTAACTTTATGTCTGAACTCCGTACGTAATAATTCCTCCTGGAATTGGTGCATCTTTCCCCTACATCTTGCTTTGCAGCAAACAAATCCCAAGCGAATTGATGTTTGCAACCACAATGGGGGATTTTCTGCTGTTCAAGCTTACCCCTTCATTTAATTTCCTTCACATTCCTTCACATTCCTTCAATCCAAAGAAAGCCTGAGATTGCAGCACACTTTTTTATAGTTTACAAGAACGCCTTAATAAAGGGAAATCATTCTTTCGTGGATTTTGGCAAAATTGTATCTTTGGTTTTTCGTTCTCTTGTTTACTCTTACTTTCCCAAAGGAAAGTGCTTTGCTGCTGGACTCATCTTTCTACAATATGGATACTTCTTTAGGGCTGTTTTTCGCTCACCGTAGTATTACTATTTCCTGAAAGCTATACGGTTAACTGTACTTCACTCTAGATATGCTTGGATTATCTTATATAATCTTGAGGGCCTGAATTTTTCTCTCTTTCTGGTTCTGTTCTATCTTACTTAGGAAAGACTAAAGCTATACTCTCCAAATAAATCTGTAGTTATAAACGTTGAGTGCCTGAGCTTGCCAAATTGTCTTTTTGCATCGCCTAGAGTTGGGTACAGAGGTGGATTTTGGTATGGAGAGGATGATGGAAGCAATGTTATTAGAAGGAAGTGAGGAAAAAGTAAAGGAGAGGCAATCACTTAGTTTTCAATATGATGTGGAATCTAGGATTACTTCCGCTGTTTGAAAACAATATTGCCTAATAATTTATGTTTAAAGATTTGTTTTCTCTTGTATCTCATCAAATTATCCTTTTTGGCTCAGCTTGGGGGTAGAGTGAGAATTCATATGAAGAGGATAATGAGAGTCAGGTTGTAAGTAGTGTGTGAGTGAATTCGTGTGGAGGGGATGATGGAGTGAGATTGTGATTGTGAGGAAGTGAGAAGTTGAAGGAGGCACTGGAAGTGGTAGCTTGATTGCTGGTTTCACATGTGATGATGAAAACTAATCCCAAGCAAATCGTGCTCTGAGATCATGCCTGCAATGATGACTTATATAGTTTTCAATCTGATATGGAATCAGCGATGACTCCACTCCTTTTGGTGTCTCCCGAAACTCATTTACATCTAAGATCATACCAAATTATTATTTTTGGTTCAATTGGAGAGGGGTGGTTAAATAACTCATATTGGAGAAGATGATGGAAGCGACTATGTAAGGTTGCAGAGGGGAGAAGCTGAACAAGGCTCTGGAAAGCTTAATTTCTGATTACCCGTGTAATGAAGAACACTAGTTGGAGCCTAAAGACGCTCTAAGCTTATACCACGGAAACCTTCTTTATATTTTTCCATCTAATATGGAATTAGGGATTCATCTTTGCTGTTTGAGCATCTCCCTGTCACTCGCTCTACTTTGCTTCTACTTTTCCCTTATCTTCATATGTGAAAAATCTAGTGGACTTTTTGTTGACTCTTAAGATTCATGTGCCTGGATAAAAATTAAAATTCAGTAGTGGTAAGTTTGTTTTTTAAAAGTTTCTAATTATAAACTCAATTCATCATGTCAGGTTGGAAGTAGTTTCATTATGAATTTCAAACTATTATTTTCTTGATGTTAATTTTAATATGTTTGATTGTGCTTTCATTTACCGCATTTTGTGTGGAATTGAATATCTCATATTTGACATATTTTTAAAGCTATAAATTATTGTTGATTTTAAATTAAATCTAGCCAAAGTTTGAGAGCTTGCAATTTTCATCAACAACAACATCAAGCTTTATCTTACTACCTGGGGTCATAATTTTTCTCCAACAACAACATCAAGCAATTTTAATCATATTGTGAAATATATTTTTGGTTTACGGACAAATAAATGAGTTTTTTTTTTTTCAAAATACCGATTTATCAGATTTCAATATCATTGATGCTTAAGTTATATGTTATAACTTTGCATGTGAAGGGGAAAATTGTTTGAGAATTTTGGTTATAATATTTTTGTTTGGTTACAAGTAGGGCTTAACTCAAGTAGGATTTAATTAATCATGCAAATCCAGAGTATGTAAATCTTTAGAGGATAAAATCTTGGAAATTGCTTGGCATGCTGATTGTTAGTTCTTTGTTAAAACTTGATACACTTTTTCAAAGAATTGATGTTTTAAATCTTGGATTACTTCTGTTGCTTGGGCCTAAAGCTATATTTCCAAAGAATTGATGTTTTAATTTTTGTTCTATTATCTTACCAAATTGCCCATTTCTGCTCTCTTCTTGAGGGGAAGATGGTGAATTTATATGGAAAGGATGATGGAAGTAAGGTTGTAAGAAGTAGGTAAGGTTAAGCCGAAGAGGAAGGATCTGAAAGTCACAGGTAGGTCTTGAATTCCTCATGTGATAATGAAAACTAATAGCAAGCAAATCATGCTCTGAGATTATGCTTACAGTTATTTGTTCCTTAGAGCATTCAATATAATATGGAATTGGTGATTGCATTGGCTACTTGCTTTGTTTGATCAATACTCTTTCAATAAATATACATTTAAGGATTATGATTTTTTTCATACCAGATCCACATTTTCCTTTGCGAGAGGCAGACAGGGTGGAGGGAGAATTCATGTGGAGAGGATGATCGAGTGCGGCTGTGATGAAGTGATGCATAGTTGAAGAAGGTTGTAGAAGTTCCAGCTTGATCTCTAGTTTCACACGTGATGAAGAAAGCTAATTCCAAGGAAATCATGCTCTTAGATTATACATATAATGACGCCTTCTATTGCTTTGAATCTGATATGCAATTAGGGATCATTCATGCTTCTTGTTTCTAATTCTATGCTTCCCAAATAAATTTACATCTAAGATCTTACCAAATTGTTCTTTTTGGCTCAACTGGACTGGAGCGGTGGGAGAACTCGTTTTGGAGAAGATGGAAGTGGTGAGAAGCAGCTGAAGAAGGTTCTAGATGTGGAAGCTTCATCTCTGCCTCCACATAATACAACAACATCAAATCTTTATCCCATTACGTGGGGTCGGCTACATGAATCCTTTTTCTTCATTGTGTCTTGTTACGAGTCAAATTCTCATTTAAATCTAGTGAAGAAAGGCCATTTCTAATATTTACTAACTAAATCTATTTAGGTCTACCTCAACCTCTCTTAACATAGGCCAAATCTAATACAATTACTCTCCTAACAGGGTCATCAGGATGCCGACATTTTACATGACCAAACCATCTAAGTCGACTCTCTCTAATCTTATATGTCATTCGAACAACTCCAACCTTTTTTTGGATATGCTCGTTTCGTATCTTGTCTCTAAGAGTAAGTCCACGTATCCATTTGAACATCCTCATCTCAACAACACTTAACTTAATTTTATGTTTTCTCCTTTAATGACCAACATTCTGCGCCATAAAGCATTGCAGGTCTCACCACCATCTTATAAGAATTTTTCTTAAGATTGAGTGGTACTTTTCTATCACACAACAAACCCGTAACATTCCTCCACTTCAACCATCCAGCTTGAATTCTACTAATAATACACCCATCTATTTTACCATTACTCTGAACATTAGACTCAATATATCTAAAACGAGTACACTGATTAATGACTTGATCGTTCAAAGTCACAAACCCCCACTAAATCTATTACTACTAAAATTACACTCCATGTGTTCGGTTTTAGATCTACATAAACGAAAACCTTTAGATTCTATGGTTGACCTTCATAATTTGAGTTTACCTTCAACTCCCTCTCTAGTATTATGAACAAGAAGAATATCATTAGCAAAAAACATACACGAAGGTACATCCTCTTGCAAATGCGTAGTGAGAACATCCATGACTAAAGAAAAAAGATAAGGGCTTAGGCTGATCCTTAATGTAATCCAACTGATGAGGACATCAACAGGAGATTTTGACATGTTTATTAGAGGAGACACCGGAGATCGACGGCCACGATCAGGAGCCTTTACTTTTGATGCATTTTATGTATTGTTTATTTTATATTTCAATTTTTCCTATTTTACCCTTGTGGGTAGTTAGTTTGAGTTGTAGCGCTGAGGGCATCTTAGTCTTTTATTTTCTTTTCTCTTTTGAGGCTTATATAAGAGGTCCTTAGTCTTGTATTAGGGTTAATGCTTGATTAATAAAATATTTCTGATTCTCTTGAGAGCTTTGAGTTCTTGAGTGGTGAAGTCCCAAGGTGTGGGCAAAACAACACCCACCAGTCGTCGGAAGTATGCCAGACTCATGGTTCGACTCCTTCCCTTGCTTTCAACCGCCGGCCATCTCTCCACCTTACCTCAAACCCCGACCACCTTTTCTTCCCCATCAAATCGCCGGCCCCAACCCGGCCGTCCTCCTACTACCCGCCGACCCCCACTACTCTCACACCCATAGCCGTTGGCCTAGCCCACAACCCGCCCCAATATATATATATATATATATATGTTCTTTATGTTGTGTGTAGCCTATGTTGCTATATTTGTCTATAAATACATAGTCAATACTTGTAATAGGAGAAACTTCGGAGAATAATAAAATGTAGGCTTTTTTCCCTGTTACTTGGAATCCTGTATTCTAAGATTTAATTTCAGGTGGTGGATTCTTTCCCCAAGGAGTTCTTGGAGTTGTGCTTGGCCATGATCACCGGATCGTCGATGAGGAGTTGTCGACCCTCTTGTCCGGTGTCACTCCTGTTCCTCTTGCCTAATGCTATCTCATGTTTTATCAAATTGCTCATATATATATATTTTTTGGCTCAGCTGGTAATCTGCAGTGGGAGAACTCATTTGGAGATGATGGAAGCGAGGGTGTAAGAAGGTAGTTTGGAGAAGCTGAAGAAGGCTCTAGAAGTTTCAGTTTGAACGCTGGATCCACTTTGTGATAAGGAAAACTAGTTGCAACCTAATTTTGTTCAAAGCTTGCACCCCTCTATGTATAGTTTTCAATCTTATATGGAACAAATGATTAATCCTATTATTCCACTACTTGGGGTTGGATGCATGGATTTTTTTCCTTCATTGTTTCTTGTTAAGAGTCAAATTCTCATTTAAATCTAATAAAAAAAGTTATTTTTAATATTTTCCAACCAAGTTTTTGTCAGTCTATCTCTATTATTTTTAATATAAGTCAAATTTAATGTATTTATTCTCCTAATTGGGTCATTGGAAGATGATTGTTTTATGTGATTAAACTATAGGAGGCAACTCTCTATAATCTTATCTTTTATTGGAGCCACTTCGATCTTTTTCATGTGTTTTGTATCCTTTTTCTAAATGTAAAGTTACTCATCCACTTGAGCTTAGAACGCTCATCTTTGCAATACTTAATTTATTATTATGCTTCTCTTTAATGCAGGGGCGGAACCTTGGATTAAGTAAATAACCTTCCTTAAATAGCTAATATTTTTTATCTTGGATTTATTCCTATTCAAAATACAAATTAAAAAAATAAAATAAAATTTATATTCTGAAATATATTATATCAAAATATTATTAATATTTGTTTTCAAAATAAAATATTATTTTTTATTAATGTATTTTGAGTGATTAAAACACTTAAATATCTTATAAATAAATATAAAATGTTAAGCGTTAGCTATTTAAGGAAGGTAATTTACTTAATCCGCCAGCGAGGCAATGTCGGATTACGTTGCCGCGAGCTGAGAGGCTTATCATTTAGCTCGCGCGTTCACTCTCGCTTATGCGCAGCTTTGGGAAAGGCAATGTCGTACTCTCAAGGCCACATCTGCCATTTCCTTAGCCGCCTGCTTCAATGCAGGCGCGACTGTCTGGTGACCATCTCCGGCGGCCGCCGCCGCACTGGCGGTGAGTTTGTGGACGGAGTACTCAGTCTGGCTTGCGGACTATTGGAGTCAGGTCTTCTCAAGCGAGGGGAAGTAGTCGCCATTGCTGGCTTCAACAGGTCTATTTCCTCCCCCAGTTTATAAAAAAGAAGGTTGCTGATGGATTTAGTTTGGTGTTTTCTTTGTATTTTATATTTTGGTGGATTTCAGCGATTGGTACTTGGAGTGGATGCTGGCCGTCACATATGTGGGAGGCATTATTGCTCCTTTGAACTACCGCTGGGTAACCTAGCTTCCTTGTACCATGCTTTTAATATCATTTGTTCTACCAGGGTCGCTAAAGAGCTAGAGCCTTTGCCATCCGCTGGGAAGCTTTGGGAAGGGGATTTAAAATATTTAAGTGAAATTTGGTGGAGTTTTGTGTAACGCAATTCATTTTGTGAGATAAGCTTGCACTTGAACAAGTAGTTGGTGCTCTATCCTTTAAGCGAGATTCAATAAAGGTTTCTCCACCTCATGGGAGTGATGGAGTTGAACTTGTAGTTTCAAGTCGAGTAGTATATGAGTGGGAATTAGGTATGGATGTAGGCCACTTGGATGCCTAATTATATAACAATTTTATTGTTTCTTATTTATTTAATATTATTTTTTGAATTTAAATTTTCTTATTTATATATAGATTATAATAGGAATTAAAGAAAAAGTTACCATTTTTTGTTAAGTCCTTTTTTTCCTAGTAGTTTTTCTTCAAACCAAACATGTATGACATTATATTTTTAACTATTTTTACCACAACTAAACCAATAAGTTCCCATAAACCAAACAGAGGCTTTAATATAATAGTTGACTTGGATATGCATACAAATTCAGTCCATTATGGTGATGTTTGTCCGCTCTATAAGTCTCAGGCAGAGACCAGTTTAATGGGTGGCTAAGGTGGGCTGGGTTCTCGCTTAGTTGAGGTCAGCTTTGTAGTTGTTAAGCAAAGATGGGAAAGATGGCCCATGTGTTCATTGTGTTGTCCTAAGTTGAGCTTACCCCAACTAGCTCCCAATTTTTTGGGTTGGGAAAAATATTTGGTCGCCTTTTTCGAGTATATAGTTGATGGCAAATGTACAATTTGATAGAAATAGAGATCTTCAAGAAACTGACATCCTCTAAAACAAAGCATGCATTAAGAAATAAATGCTGCTCCATCTTTAATATAATAGTTGACTTGGATATGCATACAAATTCAGTTCATTATGGTGATCTTTGTCCGCTCTATAAGTCTAAGGCAAAGACCAGTTTAATGGGTGGCTAAGGTGGGCTGGGTTCTCACTTAGTTGAGGTCAGCTTTATAGTTGTTAAGAAAAGATGGGCAAGATGGCCGATATGTGTTCATTGTGTAGTTCTAAGTTGAGCTTACCCCAACTAGCTCCCAATTTTTTGGGTTGGGAAAAATATTTGGTCGCCTTTTTCGAGTATATAGTTGATGGCAAATGTACAATTTGATAGAAATAGAGATCTTCAAGAAACTGACATCCTCTAAAACAAAGCATGCATTAAGAAATAAATGCTGCTCCATTGTATTGCAGAGCTTGGAGGAGGCAAAATCAGCCCTGGAGGTTGTGAAACCTGTGATTTTGGTGGTTGATGAGAGCTGCAGTTCATGGGCTCTACAACTTACCAACATCAGCGTCGTGCAGTCTCTTAGGCTCCATGCTCTTATTGGATGCATTACCCCTTCCAGCCTCTCCATGAGTGCAAATTGTAAGCTATTCAAAACCATATTGAAGTCAGTTCAACATGGGTTCATTTATAGATTTTACTTATCTGGATTAAGGGCATATGAGCATCTCTTTTATTGCAGTTCTAGCTATGGATTCCATTAGAAAAGCTTCACATGGTACCCAATTCATTAATCCTGTTTGTGCGACTGGTGGCATTGCTTTAATCTGCTTCACGTCAGGTGTGGCTCATCATTATGATTGCCTTTCAGATATTGACATATATCTCTCCTAAAATATGTGAAATACCGAACTTTATGCTTAGATGCTCATCTTCTTCAAGAGAACTGGTGAAGCCTCTCCAACTTTAATATTTCAAACTTTATGTTTTCCTTAGGAAGCACAGGAAAGCCCAAGGGAGTTGCTATTCGCCATGAAGCATTAGTAATCCAGTCTCTAGCAAAAATTACCATTGTTGGTTATGGCGAGGATGATGTAAGTCATCATTTAAAGAGAAACTATGCCAGCGTCTTACTCAAGTACTCTATTTTCATTAAGAATTATCAAAATTAATTAGCTTCTAGCTTTCTAATGTTGCTTTCTGATTTTAATTTTTTAAAGTGGTTACTTTCTGTTACTGAAATAGATCTTGACTTGCAGGTATATCTTCACTCATGCCCTATGTGCCATATTGGTGCAATATCTTCTTGTATAGCCATGCTAATGGTTGGTGCTTGTCATGTTTTCATTCCAAAGTTTGATGCAAAATTAGTTTCTTCTGCTGTTGAACAGAATCATGTTACTTCTCTAATCACTGTTCCAGCAATGATGGCTGATCTAATTTCCTTCTCCAGGTTACCCGTGCTTCTATGGAAACTATTAAGCTAACAAAATACCTGTTAATTATGTTATTGCTTTTGGTTCTTTATTGCATTAATGAAGATTGTGAAGATGTCCATGGCAGGCAATCACATAAATGGAATGGTGGAGAAACAGTAAAGAAGATTCTTAATGGAGCAGGTAGTCTATCAACTAACCTTGTCAAAGACGCCATCGATATGTTCCCTAATGCCAAGATTATATCAGCTTATGGTATGTTAATCTTCCTAGTTCACTTGGTGCACATTCTTCTCTCCCTTTTTTTTGTTTTACATTTTATTTTTTTGATATGTCTAATTTGGTTGCTTATTGATATATTATCAAAAATTAATCATGATCGGGCACGTATATCGAGGAAAAATTGAGTTGGAAATTTTACGAAATTAAATCCGGGACCATCCGAATCCAATTTCAGCAAACTTATAGTCAAATTGAACATCTTGAAAAGACAAACCCAACCACTAAAAATTTGACCCAATCCGAGCCCGAATGGGACCAACTTGAAGACCCGTAGCACATTTAGAAGATTCAAACCATAAATTGGATGACTAAATGATTTTCAAATGTAACATGCTTATAGTTGAATCGAGTGGCTTGATGAGATGAATCCAAGAAGCCCAAGATCGCTGAATTTTGATGTCATTAAGTTACTGAAATACTCGATAAATAGTTCACGATCAAGGGAGTCGATATCCGCCGTCCATTCAAAACACTTACAACTTGCTCTTAATCTTTTCCCTATTTACTGGCCATGCCATTCCCCAAAAACTATAAATAACCTCTCATTCTTCACATGAAAGGGGGACCAAGCAAGGACGAAGAGGAGGAAGGAAAGAAGAGAGAAGAGGAAGAGAAATATGTGATCTCTCTTGCCACCAAGCTCCACCTCGACCATCGCCCGACCATCGGCTATTGTTGGACTTTCGTCCGGCCATCAAGTGTCGCCAGATTTTTTCGACCACCAACTATGGCCGGACTTTCGCGCGGCCTCCAACTGTTGTCGGACCCACCAATTGTAATCGAATTTTCTCCCAACTACCATCGTCCAACTAAGGTCTTTTCAACCTCCATCGCCCGAGTACGATCTTTCTAACCACCGTCGCCTGTCGAATATGGTCATACTGACCTCCATCTTTAGACAACGGTCTTTCTAACCACCATCGCACGCCGACTATGATCCTTTTTTTTACCTCCGTTGCTAGACAACAATCTTTCTGGGCATCATCGCCCGTCGACTACAATCCTTTTGACCTCCGCAGCCTGACAACAGTCTTTCTAACCATCGTCGCCCGTCAACTACAATCCTTCAGACCTCCGTTGCCCAACTACGGTCCTTCCGACCTCCATAATCCGACTATGATCTTTCTGACCTCCGTCGTCCAACTACGTCCTTCCGACCACATTTATCCTACTACGGTCTTTTGACCTCCTTTGCCTGTCGACTACGGTCTCTTTGACCTCCATCGTGTGATTATGGTCCTTTCGACCAACATCGCTCGCCGACTATAATCCTGTTGACCAAACAAACATATTAACTCTCTTTTAAGAACAACTACCATGTAACAAACTATATACAATATATATTTACTTCATTAAGCCGACATCCTCTTCTGAGGAGGAATATTATTTGTAATTAACCATCAATACTAGTGGATCCATTCAAACTGGGCTAGGCCCCGTGGTTTTCTTTTTTTTCAGGGTTTTCCACGTAAAAAATCTGGTCTCTTATGAACACTACACCCCAATTGTTTATCTGTCTGTATGTTGGATCTTCGTATAAAGCTAAGAATTTAAACTTTATATTTCTCCATTGCCGCGAATATTCTAGGACACAACACTTATAAATAGAAAATATATTTTAGAAAATGTTAATTTCATTTTCTTGAGATGAAATCATCATTTTTAGGGAGTTTTTAGAAGGCTAATGAAATTTTAAATCAATATTGGTGTTTAACAGCTCAACCAAATGATGGATTTACAAACATCATCATTTTTCAAAAGATGATTTATAAGTTAGGCAAACGAATGAAACCTTACAGGAATTTATTAGCATTCGCTAGAACTGAATAGCTTCCTTTTTTTGAGATTTTTTAGCAGAAAGCTTGTTTAAATCCAATTTATTTTCAAGAAGAATTATATTATTTGAATTATAATTGTGTTGTGGAAGTAAAATATCCCTGAAACTTTCTCATAGAATTCCACCCCGTGATTGCATTTGAGATATTCAAACTGTATTGGTAGGAGTTTGGAATGCGCATTTAATAGGATAATCTTTATTTGGCCTGTTGAAAATATTTTGAAGTGTACTCCCTCATTATTCACTCATTTCACATTTTACCTTTTGTTAGAGGTATTTATGATATCCTTCAAGCTTTCTAATTGAAAACTGTCCTCTATAATCAAAATACATTTGAATTGTTCACATTGTATTGGTAGGAGTTTGGAATGTTTGTTTAATTGGTTAATCTTTATATGGCACATCCCTCTTGTGTTATTAACTAATGATATATGTCTGATCTACATTATCTTCTGGCTTTGTCTGATTAGGTATGACAGAGGCATGCTCTTCTCTCACTTTCATGCCAGTATATGATCCGATGTCACAAAAGCCGAGGAAAAGCCTTTCAAGTTATGACAAATTAAACACCGACGCACTCCAACTACATGGTAGAGTTTGTGTTGGTAAACCAGCTCCACACATAGAGTTGAAGATAAGCTGTGATCCCACTAGTTCTGGTTCACCTTTGATTGGGAGCATCCTAACAAGAGGCTCGCATGTGATGGTTGGTTACTGGGATCAAGCTGCCAAAACTTGCAATTCTGGTAACAGTTCTTGGCTTGACACAGGAGATAAAGGGTGGCTTGATAGTCATGGAAATTTATGGTTGGTTGGGCGAACAAAGGATCTAATTAAAAGTGGAGGAGAAAATATATATCCTGAGGAGGTAATACAAGCAACAGAAATTTCACATTTCTATACTCTTTAATGGTTTCTTCTTTGTTCTTAATTATTCATCCCTGGTTGTGAAATTTGCTATTGATTTAGGTGGAAGCTGTTCTTTGTCAGCTCATGGGAGTTGCTGGTGCTGTTGTTTTTGGCATTCCAGATATTCACCTCACAGAAAAGGTTGTTGCTTGTGTTTCAATGGAGGAGGACTGGATATGGATTGATGAAAAAACCAGGAATTCTTTGGGGACAAACCAGCTATCGAGCGAGATAATGAAGAATTTTTGTCGGCAAAAAAATCTAACCCGGTAATCTTCTTCCTTCTCAGTATTAATCTGTGTGATAGCTGTTTCCTTGACTAGAGCACATTACCTGCAAATCTTAATGGTGGCAACCTCATCACTGCTACAGGCGGGAAATTATTGGGTTCGGACACCGGACAGCTTACCGTACGGTACTTCACAGTACCGAGTAATACTGAGCTTGGTACTGTGAAGTACTGAGTTCGGTACTTCACAGTACCGAGCTCGGTACCGCTCAGTACTGAGTAGGGAGTGATGTGGCGCATTTTCATTGGGCTCTGGACGTCGTCCGGTGTCCGAACCCAATAATTTCCCGCTTGAGGCCCACCCCCTAGAGCTCTCAATATGCAGATAAAGAAAGGGTTAAAGATGCTAATTTTTATGGTTTGATCTCTCTTTTTTCTACCATCTGAGAATTTTTCTATCCCTAGTCCTGCTGTAAAAATATTATATGATTTCCATCTTATGTGTATCTGCTACTGCAGGTTCAAGATACCCAAAGTCTTCATGCCGTGGAGAAAGCCATTTCCATTAACTGCCAGTGGAAAGCTGAGAAGAGATGATGTTAAAAAGGAGGTGATGTCCTACATGCGAATCCCAAACAGTAGCTTATGACATAGCATTGTATTGGATTTATTAAGGCTTCTTTTGGGATGGCTTTCTTATCGTTTAGTAAAGCGGCTTTTTAGTACAAAAATTTAATTTTTGTACTAGAAAGCCGTTTTAAGAAACAGGAAGAAAGCCGTCCCAAACGAAGTCTAAGGCTTTGTTTGGGATGGCTTTCTTACTGTATCCTAAATCCACTTTATAGTATAACTTTTTTAATTTTTGTACTACAAAAATGTTTTAAAAAGTAATAAGAAAGCCATCCCAAACGAAGCCTAAGGCTTGCTTTTTTAATATTTTCTAAAGCTGTTTTGTAGTACAAAAAATATTTAAGCTAATTTTTTTATTAAAAAGTTATTTTAGAAAGCATTAAGAAAGCCACCTAAAATAAAGTCTAAGACCTCATTTGGGATGATTTTCTTAAAGCAGCTTTATAGTATAAAATATTTTAGTTTAAGATTTTTTTTATTAAAAAGTTGATTTAGACCCAGTAAAAAAGCCTTCCTAATTATTTTTTATATAAATTTTTAGCTCTAAGGATCTTTGATTTGTTGTAAATTAGATGTAAGGAGCACTTTTTATATGAATTTTTTTTTTTTATTATTGCTATTTTGGGGAGTGAAGTTCACCATGCAAGTTTATTTGCTTTACAAATTTATTGTTCTGGCTTATATTTCGGTTAGGCAACAACTTCTTTGAAAGGTTTTGTGCGGTTCAAGGTATCACTGAAGAAAATAAGCGCTAATTTGGTTACTTTTGCATAAAATGTAAAATTTCTTGCAATGAAAGTAAGATTTTATTTGGGATAAAATTTTTAAGTATTTTTTAAATTAACTTTTCAGTATTAAAATTTTCTTAATGTTAAAAAAAAAAACTAAAAAATTATTAAAAAGAAAAATAAGAAAGCTGTTATATTTTAAGATACACTAATGTATTATGAAGTAGATTATGTGATAAAAAAAAAATATTGATTGATTTACGAAGCTCGCTTACTTAATTCAAAAAAGTTGTTTATAATTTAAATATTCTCATAAACGAGTCTAAATGAATCTTATAATATGAATTTCAGTAAGCTAAGTAAGCTAATTAATTTAGATTAAGAAAAAGGGAAATATTATAAAAAATACAAGCTCATATCTAGGGCTAAGTAAGCTATTAAGCATGCAATTTTTTTTTATATACATAAATGGAGTAGCCACACTTTTAGTACATTATATATATGTTACAAGAAAATATCCTCCTCGTAAAAGCTTATTTTATATATTTCTATTCTTAATTTTAACTAATGAAGAAACTCTTTGCTCCTGCAAAGCTTATCTTTTTTTGGAGAAAATATATTTCTTATTTAATTTAAGCTTTTTTATTATCTTATAAGTAATATTTTCTTCTCTAGAATAATAAATGCAACAAATTTTTTTTAAAAAATTCAATGTTGGAGTCAAGCTTGAATGAAAAAAAATTGGTAGAATTTAAAATAAAAATAAAAATTTAGACCCCCTATAAAAACTTGCTGGCTTCACCACGAGCTCAAATCATCTTACAATCAAATGACTAAAAAAAATTAAGATGATTTTATAATACTTGTTAATCACCTCACAACTTATAAATGGAACGAAAAATTTACTCGCAATAAAATATTTTTAAATTTTGATTTATATAAATAGTATTTTATTTAAAAATATATTGAATCCAAACAATATTATTTAAATGATGTAAATATATATATATTACATTAAAATATGTAGATTTAGAAAAATGCTATTTCACCCAAAAATAAAGATAAAAAAAGAAAAGAGGAATTTTGCTCCAATAATATTTATTTAGGAATCTATGCTTGTTTTTGGATGGGTGAGCAGTGAACAATCATTGATGAGTGATAAGATTTTCTAGGTAGGTCAGTTTTGTAGTAAAAAAAAAAAAAAAAAAAAATTTTAAGCCATCAATCATTGACCAAAATTCGATCCAATTTTATGTGGATGAGATTATCAGTCCTATTGTTATACAAGTATAGTTAAGACCAACATAAGCCAAGTCTTGGACTGTTGATTGAGCTAACTTCTTGTTGAATTCCAAAAATTTATTGCTAAGAATGTAGTTTTCTTCCAATTTCTCACTATTATTTTTGTAGCAATTGAAGTCACCAATAATTGCTCAAGTGATTAGTATTTGCAACAAAATTTTGAATTCTGCCCTACAGATACTTTCTATCATTAAAGGAGTTTGCAACAAAATTCAGAGATAAGAAGAAGAAAGTAGTTTAAAGATTATTTTGATTTGTTGGTTAGGAGCTTTGACTATCAACTAAAAAGTCTTGAGTTCAAGTCTTACATATGAATTTGTCTTAGGCTTTATTTGGGATAGTTTTTTATTGATTTCTAAAATAGCTTTTTAGCAATGATTTTTAAATTAAAAAATTTTGAACTAAAAAATTATTTAAAAAAATAATAAGAAAGCCATCTTGAACAACACCTAAATGTCTACAAAAAAAAGGTCATTGATCTCCTCTAAATCAAGTGAAATTATTATGTGTGGACGCCGAACGACATCCTGAGACCAACCAAAATGCGCCATGTCGCTCTTGCTCAGTTCTCGACTCGGTACTGCTCAATACCGCGACTCGGTACTTCTCTGTATCGCTGACTCGGTACTGCTCGATATCGCTGATGTGGCGGTTTATGATTGGTCTCTAGATGATGAACTATGTTCGACATCTGCACAAAATAATCTCTTATAAATCAAAGAGAGAGACATATATATAAATGTCATGTACTTTTGTCTCCAAATAAAAAATAATAATTTCAATTGCATTTAATTTTCACTCAAATAAATAACTTTTGAAAATAAAAAAACATGAAGTATATTTCTTAAAAAAAAAAAAAAAAAAAAAAAAAAAAAAAAAAAAAAAAAAGAACGAGTGCGCGTATGCCACGGCAGTATCTTAAATTAAACTCGAAATCTAGTGGCATTGCTATGCCCCCCAAGTACTACCGCAGTTCCTATAAGTTCACTTGGCTGCGTGCGCATTCCAACAGTCTCCGGCGGCCGCACAACTCTCTTCCTCCCCAGCCAGCGAAACCCTAAAACCATGTAATTTCTCTCCCTCTCCAAGATCGCCTGAAACCCCTCCAATGGCCACCGTTCGCGTCCCCTGTCGTGTCTGGATGCCTCTCCCAGAAGCTCACTGCGTTCTCCTCGTGGGTGGAAACCACACCTCCTCCAGATTCTGCACTCGCTAAACCCTCATCCCCGCCACCCTTCCGGCTTACAATCTCTCTCTGTCTCTAATCTCCTTTCTCGTTGAAGGGAAACAATCCACTGCCCTAATTCAACTAGCGATTGACCGATTCCCCCTCATGGGAACGACCAGATCTGCCGTCCTCAAGGTCCTTATTGCCAGCATTGCATCAACGGCGGCAATACTCCTCCTCTTTGATATCGCCGCAATCGCCGCCGGATCTGGCGGATGTGATTCTTCCGTCCCCGCCCCGCTCGCCGGAGCCATGGAGCTCGATTCTGCTTTCCGCGAGCTGATTTCACTGGGCTGGCTCGGCGAAGCCGACCACGCGGTCTTCGTCGGCCCAGACGCTATCGCTGCTGCGGTGATCGCCCAGCGGATGGGGCTTCCAGGGGCGATAGCCACTCCCACCACGGCATGCTGCGCGCTGCCGTTCGACGCGGATTCCTTCGACTTCGCGTTTTCCGCCGCACTGGACCGGGCCAGGGTCCCAGCCCGCGTGGTTCTTGAGATGGAGCGCGTGCTCCGGCCTGGCCAGGTCGGGGCAATCTTTCGCCTCCGACGGGCCTCCGGCTTAGGCCGGCCGGAGGAACTGATGAAAGCGGCGGCCCCGGTGGCCTCGCTACTTCGATTCTCTGACGTGATAGGCGCACGGGCAATGAACGGATCCGCTATGGTTGTGTTCAGGAAGCACCGCAACAGCGGCGGCGAAAGCGGCTCTTCTACGCCGTGGAACGGCGCCGACACTCTGTGCAAAGAAAGAATGACGATAATGCCTGGGATTATCATCGATGTAATTGAACTTGTAAGGGCTACTATCGTAGTGGGAACGGGTCGTTTCGGGACAGGTGTTGATCTTTTCGGAACTTGACACGCTCTAAACCTGTCTTTGTATCGTGCGTTGTTTTGTTTGTGTGGTGTGCTGTGTTGTTTTCTGAAAATAAGGGTGGTCCCCATCTGATGGGAATCGTACCGTCGATTTGATCGTGAACGGTTGTGATGTTTGTAGTTCGTTTGTCGGTGCTCTTAATTTGTATTATTGTCAGTATTTAATTATTGATGTGGGTAAGCCATCTCGTCATCTGATTGGTAGGCTCTTTTTGTTATGGTCCCAGTTCTTCATTGTGCACCTACTTGATATTGTTATTTTATCTTTTATTTTGGTCGTTTTCTTATTTTATTTATTCTTTTTTTTTGCAATTAATTTGGAATAGCTTTTTAATTACTTTCTAAAACAAATTTCTATAAAAAAATTTCAAAAAAAAATTGTTATCTTACTTAAGGATAGCATTTTAAAAAGCAATAAGAAAATTATCTCAAATGAAGTCTGAATAAATGTGACTTTAGAAAAATAATTGTTTATTCAAAATAATATGGAGAAAAAATGATTGAATTCTACAAAAAATAACTACAATAAGATTACATTAGATGTGAATTTATCAAATAAATTACAAAGAGCATGGCTATACCCTTTATAGGAAAGGATAGAAGATTTTGTTTGAGATTGCTAAAAATTCACTTTAAGAAGTAATAAGAAAGCCATCCCAAACGAAACTTAAGTGTTCCTTATATGTCAAACTCTACACCTCACCAAGATGCCTTTGGTCTATACTTTCATCATTATTTACGAATGCATTTAGAATTGTGGTTGGCTTTGAGTTACAATTTACTGATAGTACAAGTTGAAAACTTAATTTATGTTTCTTTCTTGTTCATGCAAGTGGGTTACAATTTTATAAAATTTTATCTAAATGACACACATTCGAATGAAATTAGCTGTCCAACCAACACCTATTAAGAAATCACTGCCACCATCCTTGTTTTTCGACATAACATCTATCTGCATTTCAACAATATATCATCATGCTCTCTAATCGATCGATGTTTATAATGTGTAGTTTGATTGGCCAATTTATCTTCTT